TCAGCCAGGTCACCAGCAAGAGTAGAAGTTGCATGCGCATTGATGTAGTTAACCTGAAAAACATAACTTGCTTAGTTCGCTAATTTTCTCACCTTTGGTGTTGAACAAAAATTTTAGAAAATAATTATACTATGACCCTATTAATTTGCGCTTCGCATCTGAAGTAAACAACACTGTTAATCAGCGACTATAATGACACAACTCGTAACCAATAGGTCATAATTCTCTACAGTCTCACTTAAATTAAAACTCTGATCTAATAGATAAAAGAGAAGGTAATTCAATACACATTTTGTGGACAAGTCAAAGACTGCCATTGAGTTCACAGTTCACCATAAAACAGAGAATTTGGTGGTCTTATTGGTGTGTGCGAGTCTGTGTCTGTGTTTGAGTATACATCAGAGAATCTGTTGGTTCTATTGGTATATATATTCCAAAATGCCTGCACAGGAGTTGGCAAACCTAGATAGAAAGAAACAACATAACATGGGATATGAGCAATATCTAGAACCCAGAACAACCTAACTCCATTTTCCCACATATTAAGAGACTTGGTTGGAAAAACATAGAATCACCTCTTCGGGAGACACACCAGCATCTTCAAGGTTTTTCTCGATGCATGTAGACACCCCGAGACCATCAGATCTTGGATCAGTCATGTGATAAGCATCACAATTAACAGCTCCACCTAAGTACTCAGCAATAATTGGGGCACCTCTTTTCATTGCATGTTCCAGGCTTTCCATTACCTGGAAAGAAGAAAAAATAACTCATTATGAAAGGCCATGGCCTTCCCCCTACATCAAGATCAGTCACCAAGTAACAATCAAACCAAGAATCTAAGTAGAAAAGCAGCATCCATTCACTCGAGACTATCTGACATTAATCAAGAAGTTCAAAAATATGATAAAAGAGGGGAGATGTATGCAAGCATAACTGTAAATGTTTTCACCAGTTCCCCAATCAGTGAGAATTAGGTTCCATCAGTATCAAACGACACACTCCAATGGAAAAGATTTTGATATTGTAAAGTAACAACATCTCATTGCAGACAATCGCATCCCCCACCCCCAATAGCCAGTTTCCCCCATCAGACCACAGTTATACCCTAAAGCCAACCCCGTTCTCTTAACAACAGTATAAAGGATTACCAATGGAGCCAAAACAAGTTGCTAACCAGAAATAAACAACTTAACTAAAATGAATATAAATGGTGCATATATAGGAATAGCATGTGAAGTTACCAATACTCCGGCACCCTCACCCATAACAAAGCCATCTCGACCTTTGTCCCATGGTCTTGAAGCAGTTTGAGGATCATCATTTCTTTGAGACAATGCCCTGCAGGCCACAAAGCCCCCCAGCCCAATAGGAATAATTGCAGCCTCAGTTCCACCAGCAATCATCAATTCAGCTTCACCTCGTCGGATGTGATTGGCAGCAGCATAGAAGCAATAATTGGAGGTGGCACAAGCAGTTGAAATAGAATAATTTGGACCCATGAGACCAAGCTCAATTGCTAGCAAGGCAGATGACATGTTTGTTATAGCATAAGGAATGAAAAATGGTGTTATTTTTCTATAACCTTTCTCTATCAGATTTTGGACGCCATCGGAAAACACTGTTAGACCACCCATACCGGTTCCAACAAGCACTCCAGCTCGCTCCTTATCAATCTGCAACAAACATGAGATTCTTTAAGCAATATAGGGAGAAAAAATTGAAAAGAGCATTGTTAATGAAGCTCCAGTAAGAAGAACCGAAGGTAAAACACAAAATAAATTAAATAGCAAGTAGATAAGCAAAACCACCAGACCAGAGAAAGAACAAGAATAATGAATCCAAAGTCCTGTAAACACTCTTATGATTATAATAATAGATTTCACTTCCAATATGTCTTCTTTTTTTCTTTTTGGTACCTTCTCATTATATAGGGTAGGGAATCATCCATAAGGATAATAAACTAGATCAATAATTTTATTTTATCCACATTTTCAAGGGCCTAGTTCTGGGAGATTGATGCATAAGAAAGATATCACAGCGATTTCATTGTTTATCAAAACCGATACTATAGAACATACAACCCAAGTAAATATGTTCACACACACGCGCCCAAAAAAAACGAAATATGACATAAAACAAATCAGCGAAGTGGCAAAATAATGCCATAAAAACAATGGAGTATTAAGCACAAGAAGCATCAGGTTCTGTAAGTTAAACTAAATCTTGCTAAGACTCAAAAGTGATGCAAATAAAGAACCAACTCATTCCCGTAAATATCGCAAAGGCAAGACAATAAAAGAATAAACTTCGGGTATGTAATTCAAGAATAAAACATGCAAATCACTAGCAAAACAGCCCAATTAACAAAACCCAACAACCAAAAACCCTTAAAAAAACTCACCTTAGCTAACTGATCGCCCCCGAGATCGGCATCTTCCAGAGCCTTCTTGCCCGCAACAATGCAGTACCTCAAGCAATCGTCAAGTCGCCTATCGTTCTTCCCATCAATGTAACCCTGAGAAGTGAAACCCCGGATCTGACCGGCGAACCGAGTAGGAAACTTGGAAGCATCGAACCGGTCGATGGGTCCGATCCCGCTTTCTCCAGCCAGCAACTTATCATAGTAAGCATCTACATCGTTTCCAAAAACGGAAACCAATCCCATACCCGTAATAACGACCCTTTTCTTGGGGTCCTTCTCACGCTTGGGAGCAGATACGGTGGGGGATGAAGCGGTGATGGAAGAGAATTTCTTGTTTGGCCTGGGTAAGAGCTTCGATACATTGGGAAAATGGTGATTCAGATTGGGCTTTTGGAGAGGTTTTAGAGGAGAAGCTCGAAGAGATGGAGCTTGAAGAGCTTCCATGTTTCGTGGGAACGGGGATGTGCTTAGAGGCCGATATAAACAAAGTGAATAAAGCAACGGATAAGAAGGAAAGGTTATAGTGTATATACATATACATATAGTCACAGGCTCAAATCTACTTCGGCTGCACTTACGACTTGCCAGCCGCGCAGGCACTAGGGACAATTTTGTATATAGTGAGCATAATTGGCCACACGTTATTATCATTTTATTTTCTTCGTCTGGTTTCTCTCTATTCGATTTAAAAAATCATTTTTTTCAATAATTTAATTACTTTTTCTTTTACTAACGCAATCCTAAATTATTCGAACTATAAGTTATTTTTTATCTTTTAATTTTGAAATAAGTAAATTGTTTTAAATATAAATAATTTAATCTTTATTAATTTTCAAAGTGAATAACGAAAGATATTAATTTTATAATTAATTGCTTTTAATCATTTATTTTAAAAAAGAAAATAGTCCTTTTAAAAGATATTAATTAACTTAATTTTAATCTTAAAGGAAAACATGGATATCTTTTTACCTATATTGCTTATTTAATTTTGCAACGCAATCTTTTAGATTCACACTCATATATATATCTAATGTCATATTCTACTTTATTTAATTTTAATTAAATATTTTATCAATTTTACCAACAACCAACTTATCTATTGGGATAAGGCACTAGATCTAAGATCAATGGTTTGAATTTTGTTGTTTGTGAATAGAACAAATTGGATTGCGAGGGTCACCATTGTCTCTACGGTATTCGATTCAGATTAGTTCATTAAAATATTCGTATACATATTTTTCGATTTTTTAATCAAATATCAAATTATCTTTTTTATAAATAAGTATACAAAAGTATTTTAAAAAAACTCCTAGAGCTAATTAATTTTCAATTGATTAACATAATAAAATTATATAATGATTCAAATATTTTATAAAAATACTATAACTAAAAATTCAAAACTATAATATTAAAAAAATAGATTATCCAAAACAATTATTTAATGAACTAATTAAAAATAAAACTCTAAATAGTAGGATTCAACTTTAAATAAAACTCGTCTGAACTTGAACAAATTAAAGTACGAATCTCCGCCGAACATTTAATACAAATAGCTTCGTCCATCTTAAGCGTATCACAGTTGATTGGTGATAAAATTGTTAAATGTCTGTCGTTGCAGATATATATGATCTAGCCAGGCTTGCCAAGTACTTTTAGTAGCTTGTGTATAGATATTATGACAACAATTAACATTAGTGTCGTTTGGGTAACCAAGTTTTTTAGATAAGTAAAAATTTTATTATCCAAAATAGCAAAGTTTTGCTACAATCCAATTAACAAAAGAACACTATGCACAATTATACAAAAAAAAACAGTGATTGGAAGAACTATAAGCCCCAAGCATTACAAGGATTAGATTAGTACTATCAAGTATATTGAAGTTTTTCCCCCTAAGACTAAACCGAATAGCATCAATGATTTCAATAAGTAAAATTTCAGCATGTCTTGATCGTTTCTGGAAGATACGCTGATTCTTTTCTTGCCAAACAGTATAAATAAAAGCAGACCAAACAATTTTTAGAATGAATGTGAGAAGAGACTTTCCTTTCAATGAATTGATTGCTGTAGTAACCTGTTCCTCCCAAGTCAAGTTCGTAAGATTCATTCCATTCAGATTCAAGACAGAATTCCATAAGCAAGCTGTCAGAGAACACTCGGAAAATAGGTGGTTTATTGTCTCTTGAAAACTGTTACAGATTACACAAGCAGAATTAGTGTTAATTCTCATTCGTTGTAAGCGGTCTCTAGTTGATAATCTGTCTTGTAAAGTCATCCACACAATTAATGAATGTTTCGGAATATGCATGGGAAACCAGATGAGCTTATGTCATGTTACTTTCTGTCCTTTAGGTCTGATTTCATTCAAATATCTTTAAGCCAAAAAGTGTTGTAAATAAATGGAAATGCATCAGCCCTCATTTTTAAGATACGTTTGATGCTCCAACTAACATTTGAAGCAGGTTCAAACTGCCATAAATCAGTATCCTTGATATTATTGTTAAAAATTTAATAGAACTGTTACAAAATGATTTTTTATAAGTAAATTACATCATTTATCACTCAACTATTTTTTCACTCCTATTTTGGTCACTAAAGTTCAATTTTTTAATTTAATTATTTAACTTTCAAATTACTCATAATTTAATCACTCTAACTTTCAAATTTAATTTTTATTTTTGAATTATATATTAATAAAATAATAAAATAATTTCATTGCACAAAAATTATTAATAAAAATAGATTAGAGTGATTAAAACATAAGTAATTTAAAAGTTAAGTAGTTAAATTCAAAATTTTATAACTTTAGTGACCAAAATAGGAGTAATAAGATAATTAAGTGATGAATGATGTGATTTACCCATAAAAGTACCATGCGCAACAATTTCATTAAGTTTTGAAGGACTGAATACTAAAATGAAAACAAAAAAGTATAAGTTAAGTATGCTTTTGAAACAAATAAAAATTTAGGTAATAAAATAAAATAAAACTGATAGTTTAGGTATTAAACGTATAGTTTACCCTATAATTTTATAAACAATATTGTGTAACAAAAAGCAATTATCAATTTTGTGCAAGTTACTGGTCCAAGATTAGCCTTCATTGATTGCCAAGAGTAAGAACTGCTGCTTTAATATTCTCTTTCCATCCTTTTGTGGGCTTCCCCTGATCCCCTGATACTTGTAAATTTGAACAGGGGGATCGACCACTTTTCTTTGTTTTGTTTAACAAAACAATTAAAATCCAAAGCTCGATGCATATTTCTAGCTTTTATAACTTAATTTTTAGTTTTATAAGTAATTAAATTGAGTAAATTATCCAATATTGACAGCTCTATTTTCGTGATTCTGGGAATCTTGTGTCTGGTAATGATTAAGTAGGAACTTTGCTTTGTCAAATTTCCGTATCAAAACCCAGGTCAGAACTTTGAAATCAGAGTAATGTTATGCACCTGAAATTAAAAGAAAGGAGGAAAGAATTTGCCAGAAGGTACCAGATACATGGTAGATCTTACATAAAATCAAAAGTGACAGCCGCAACAAAGATAGAAGAAACAGAGGGTAGCCACCAAGTAAACAGCCTCTAAAACCGACACAATCTTGAAACGTACATCGTCGATGAAAGAGAGTCTCATGTTTAGCCTCTTCCACTTGAAAGCAGACCCCCAACACTTCCACCTCCATGCTTCCTTCTTCATCAGCCTCTTGAATAACACCCATCTCTTCCTGCTTCCCATCACTTTGTTTTTAATGAAAAAAATCGTCGTTGGTTTTGATCTTTGGTTAGACAGGAAGAGAATTTGAATGTCGGTTTATATATTGGAGGAAAACTTCAGTTTCTACGGGGATGTCTAAGGTAATAAGGAATCGTCCGTGAGTGGAGAGGGCATTATTTTAGTTGAAAGTCAAGGTTAGCCAGCTTTATACGACCAATCTCCCCGCGTTTGTATGACTCCAAAAAGTTGAATTCATTTATTTATGGGTAAATTATACAAATGATCCCCCGACTATAGAATTGTTTTGTTAAGTCCATCAACTATTATTACAAAATGGTCGTTTAATTATAGTGCACTATTTTGTTGAGTTTCCATACTATTAAGAATTAAAAAAATAATCACCTAACTATGGAGTCTTATTTTGTTGAGTCTTCTGACTATTAAAAGTTATAAAATGGTCATCCGACTATTCATATGTTTCAAATTCGTCATTTTTCTATTAAAAAAGTGATGATCGTCTGAGCTTAACGTCCACCTATTGACCAAGATATGATAAAATCATATTTTAATGATGTGTACTGACAATTTCGTTGCTTTCAAGCACTGGTTCGCTGACATAATGTTTTAAGCACTATCTCGACTAAATAATGTAAACAGAGAGTCAATCCACAAAATACAACTCAAATGGTTATATGATAAGATCTTATCATATCTCAATCAACAAGTTAACATCCAACTCATACGGTCACCAACTTTTTTAAGGAAAAAGACGAGTTTGAAACATATAAATAGTCGAGTGATCATTTTATAACTTTTAATAATCAGGGACTCGACAAAGCAATACCCTATAGTCAAGGGATCATTTGTGTACTTTACCCTTTACTACTATTATCGGTAATTCAAGGAAAAAGTAATTTTATTAAAAAATAAAATTAATAATAAAATACATACTGTATTTAAAACTATTTACGATATCTTTTCAGCAAGTGAAAGAAAAAAAGAATATAACAAATTTAAAATATTATTATATATTTTTAATATATTAATTAAATAAAATAAAGATAATAAAAAGATAGTAGAAACATTTTGTTTTTTTATGAAATTATTTATTTCACTACTAATATATTAAATAATTATCTTATAGGAAATGTAAATTATTTATTAACTACTTTTTTTTCTTCAGGAAGAAATTTAATTTCATCGGAATGCAACTATCTCGCCCAAAGCCACCACGAACCGGTCCATCATTAGATAAGAAGAAAGCACCGAGAAGGTGTCCTTGCGCGTGGACTCCTACCGTTCAAATCGATTGTTCTTTGTCATTTCCACGATAATTAACTCATAATCTTACATTTTAAATGTTTAATTAAGAATACAAATAAAGTGATTTTAGCAATCAAATGGATGGTTATTATTTATAAAAATTCTGAATTTGAGTATATCGTTTATACGGATATTTAAGTATTCACTATCAAATAATTAAAAATCTTTCAGACATATATTATTTTATAGAAATTACTTATATTAATCAAAAAATTGTTTAACTAAGGAGTAATAACATTGTTGCCCCTTGTACTTTAAGAATCATTCAATATAGTGTATGTGCTTTCAAAATATATTTTATTGCCATTTAAATCTTTCATTATTTCCATGTATAAATATTATATCACCATTTAAACCCGTCATTATTTTCATGTATAAATATTTTATCTTATTATTCTAATATGATAGCAATTTCAGCAACATGTTTCTTCAGTTGGTTACTTACTCTATCCTTTTGAAACTTTCACATCATTTTGTTGGCATAATTTAATAGTCTTAAGTAAAGCTATGATTCTAAATTTCTAATACCAACCAGTTTGGAGTTAATTTAAGTAATATCTATGTACTGAAATTGCCTTATGTCAAAACTCTGACAATTCAATGAATAAATTAGTTTGCTAATGAAATTTATGTAAATTTAGTTTTTTTTTCTCTTCAAAATTTAACTATTGAATTCTTAGTTGACAGTGATTTAAAATACAAAAACATTTATAAATTTGAAAATCATGTTTCCAGACACTAGATATGCAATAATCAGATAAAGTCCCTTGGAGTAGATGTATTGAACTGAGCAGGATCCCTCGGAGTAGGCATTAAAGTAGTCGCTGCAATCTTCTTGCTCCTGCTGATGTAGAGCTGGTCGAGAAGCTCTGCAAAACGAAGCTCTAGTTCTTCTAGCTCCTTGGGGTTAAGTTGATCGATGGGAGTTTCCCACCAAAAATGACCTTCTCTCTCACCTGCATTCTGAGCAAGCACCTTCGCTTTCTCTTTGGCTGCATTGAGTTTGCTAGTCACCTCATTATATTGCTGTATTATCTGATTGATTCTCACCTTTCGTTGATCCTCAACAAGAGTGTGAGTATTATCACGTGCAGGCAGAAAACTATTATCCATAATACGGCTAGCAACTGATTCCATTGAGGGGTGACAAAAGGAAAAGGGTTTACCTGCCGGTGAGAAACAGATAAAAAGAACATCAACACCGCATAATATTGCTATCTCAGCTATTTTCTTGTAGATACCAGATCGGCGTTTGGAAAATGTGATCAATCTGTCGTCCTTTTTTTCAATCATCTTCATCTCAATCTTTTTTCTTCCCATAGTTTTCTTACCTAAGCTTGCCATTGCTGAAAGATTGACAAATGAAGCAAGAAAGAAGGCTGAGAAGGTTAGAAATTGAGAGTTTAGTGTAGGATCAGCTAGTTAAATATGCTTCTTGAACTCGGTTTTCATACTTGTCTCATCGATCGTATATAAATATTGCCTTCTCGATCAGATTTGTTTGCATATTATATAAATCAGTGTTGGATTGATGAATGCATTGCATTTGTAGTGATAAAGAAGATTTGGTTCCATCATATGGGAACAGTCTGAATAGGTAAAATATCACCTTTCTATATTTGTTTTTTCCTTCCAAATTAGGGTTTTGGGGTGATTATATTTCTATATATGAAGAACAAATTCAAAACGGTTGTGAAATTGACTTGGCATTTGTCCGGGGTTGGTATTAATCGTATTTGTTCATGTAATGAGCTCCCTTGATTTAATATATGATTTAACTACGGATTTACATTCCATAAAAGTATAAAAGAAAATTACAAGTAAACAACTAGTTTACAAAACACAGTAGAGGATCAATTTATAAGTATGAAGAAAACTTTATGTATATAGATATAGTATACCAAGCATGCAATATGAATGAACAAAAATGATCAGATTTGAAAAATTCCCAAGTTTAACTTTATTGTTTAGTGATATTTTTCTAAAGGTAATTACTGTTTTGATGGGCTAAATCTTTTAGAAAATGATGTGGGAAAAAATTCATAAAATAATGTATGTTTGGAATTAATTGCTTGAATAGGGAGTTTGTTATATTGGGATCCAGAGTCACATCGGGAGCATGGCGATCATGGTGTGTTGCATGGAACACCATACGTCTTCACCCTTGAAATCGAAGAGCCCAATGCATCATCACACCTTGTCGCATGACACTCCATTTCGTTTCTTAGATTGAGCTTTATTGCTCTTTCTATGACTCTTAATTAATATGTAATTAACTAATATGTAATTAATTCTAGGGTTAAACCAGAAGCACAAGGCTATGGCCAGACAAGCAATGTAAATAAAACAAAAAAGAAACAAAATGGAGTGGCATGCGACAAGGTGTAAAGACGCACCGAGTTCTTCGCGTTCAAGGGTGAAGAAGCATGGTATACCATGGTCTCCGTGCTCGCAATACGACTCCGATTTCAATGTAGTAAATACCCTATCAAAGCAATTAATTCCAAACATATATTATTTCATGATTCCCCCCTCACATCATTATCTAAAAATATTGCCATTTTGATGAGGATGACAAGATGAATGATTAAAAATTAAATTACCTAGTATATCAATGAAATTTAAGTTACATATTATTTTTTATCATTGAACTTGAACTTAGTATCAAGCTTTACTTTCGGATTTAATTAGGACACTTTGATGTTCAATCATTAATGATACAATGACGTGATTGTTTCTTCCCGTGAACATTAGTTCGTTTATTGGTTTTGTCAATAAAATTTAAAATGTTTTCATTTTAGGCAATAACCTTTGGTTTGCAAATCAATTTGGTCCATGTATAAAATTAACAACTTTTTCATCTATTATTGTCATTCAATTATCTTCTGTCATGACCACAATTCGCGACAAGATCAATATTAGAGTGTTCATATTTCACTTCTCTTTCTTCTCTTATATTGGTCTTTCACGAAACTCACTCAAAATCGATGAAAATACATATAAAGATTTATGTTCTAATACTTCAATCTCCTCTGACCATCGTTCGATGAGACTAATTTTAAGGTATGTTACTTGTCTTCTCAAAAGAATACTTATCATTGTTCGAATTTTAGAACAAGTACCCAAAATCTCTCAAATCCGAGAAAATTCCCAAACTCTCAAAATAGTGGATTATTGTGTGTTAATTTTGTGAGATTTAACAAAGTTTTGAAAAATGAATAAAATGATAAAGTAGTAGAGGATGATAAGATGAACTCATCAATCTATAGGATGGTCATAAAAGACGTTGGAGAATGATGATTTTCGATATGGGCTAAGAAAGTAAAAAAATACTAACTGTGATGAAAAAGATGGAGTGAAAAAAAAAACTTTCATCTCAGCGTCAAATTGTAAATAATCCAATTATTAATGATAAAATAATCTAATATTTTAGCTGAATTTAAAATTAAAATTCAATATTAAAATTAAAATTAAATCGTTTTGAAACTTAATATAAAATCGATACAAACCATAAAATTTGAGATAGTTTACCCATAATAGATAAAAATATATTTAGGACTATTTTAACATTACATTTGAAAAATATAATAAAAATAATTATAAAATAATATTTATTTTTTAACCAATTAATAATGAACACACCATACATGCATAAATACAAATGTCATTTTAGGGGTTAATAATAAAGGTAAAAGGTTTAAGTGAAAAAGGAAATGAATTGTGAATGACACTCGGCTGAAGAAATTTGCTTACTTTCTCAACGCGTGTCTGTCATCTGACAAAACGTCGTACTGGTTTTTTCCACAATCTTCAATTAAAAGTTCTCCTGTTTATAAATTTTTATTATTTATTGTTTATAGGTGTACATTATAATTAAAATTTAAATTTTTGGATCTTACAAATTTATTAGAATTAAAATATTATTGTATCTCTCGTTTTCTTGTTTTTCTATATATATTTTATTTTATAACATATAATGCTTTGTTAAAAAAAAATCAGTCTCCACTATACTCTGTTTGAAAGACTTGAAAAGTCTGATAAAAGAAGGAAGACTTGGAAGAGAACTTCAATTCTCTGTTTCGAAAAAAAAATAAGAGAAATAGTAAATTAGCAAAGCAAGCTTCGAAAGGAGAGAGACAAATGTTTGAAGACAAGGAGAAGAGTTGCCGTTCTTCTAGAGAACTAGTTGTAATAAATGTGGGTATTGCTTGTTTTGATGGCATTATTGCCATTCTTGCTTTTTCTCAGGTTTGTTTGTTTTGTTTTATTAAAGTTTTGATTTTTTTTTATGTTCAGCGAGTTTTGATTGATGGGTTATTCGTAGTATGTGATTGATGAAAATAAATACTATATGTTCTATGATTGTTTTTGATTGATGGTTTTGTTATTAACTTTTTTCCCTTTCCTTTTCAATGTTAATGAAATTATTTTACTGCTGTAGTGTTGTGTTTAGTTGTTAATTAACTCAAATTGACATTCATGTTGAGAAAGTAATTTCATTTGGCTTTATATTATCTATTTTAAAATGTCTTTTTGTGTTGGATGCCTGAATGGATAGATTTATGTATTTTGATTGATTGGTATAATTGTTGTTGTTTTTCACATAAAACTAACACAACTACAAATTTAGGTAGTTTGCTTCATCATTTTAATGGAAATTAGGGATTGCATGGCTTGCGGTTTGAAGTAGAGTTGCATTTAACTAAATCCAAAATGCGTATGATCCTTGCAATACTGAATAGCATGTATTGTCAATGGTTGATTCTTATGGAATTGGTTACTTGGGTCCAGTGCTAAATTCTAATCTGAAAATTGTTGGTTGAGTGAGCCATGCTTAGGTGACTCAATTCTTTTTGCCGTAACCAGATGTTGGAAGAACAATGTGAATTAAAAGAGCTTGACTTGACTCCATTTCTGATACTGGACTTTAGAAATTATTCTGATCAACCTGAAAAAGTCTGCGGCCTCTGCTCCAGCCCTCTTTCTTACTATTAGTGTCATTTATTCAAGAATTTAATAGCCCATTCCTCCCATCTGCCAGCACTGCACTATAACCATGTAACTTGTTATATGTCTTGAATGCCATCTTGTTTATGAAAATTTTATCTTTCTGCACGTAACTCAGTTGTGTTTGATCAAGATATTGGGTTTATGTGTATCAACATGGTGAATTTTACATGCTTATACATAATGTTTTCTAAAATCCAGGGTAATGTTTTACAACAGAATTTGTTAGTATGATGCTCCTAGTACTAATAATTAAGGCAAGATAATTTTTTTGTTTGTTATTTTCTCCTTTCTGATTTATGTTTGTACTGATTATTAATCTCATTACCGGTCAGCTTGCACGGATTCACTTTAGGAATCCACAGCGAGGATGGAATCGCCAAAAAGTAAGATTTATGTTGCTTTATGTGACTTTTTGGTTGAGCTTAAAGATTTCTATCTGAATGTAAACTGATTCATAGGCTAGCTAGTTAATACAATGTCATCAGACCAGCTGGCTGAGTGGGTACTTGCACCTTGACCTGATATGTCTCATCTGACCCCTTAAGGCAGAGCCTGGTGAAATTGTCTCCACATGTAGGAATTTAGTGACTCTTCTTCTGACACTGCTTAAACTTGAGTAAAGGGTATGAGTGAGTTCTATAAGTGTTTGGTCCAGGAGTTGATAGTAGGCATTGCAGGAGAGAACTATTTGACCAACATTTCCAGGATTTCAACTTTTTCCCAATTTCTTGCTATCTTTTTTCTTTCTCACTTCTTGCAAGTATCATAAGAGTGCTTGTATATTCCTCAAGCATTGACAGAAAACTCTATACTCCTTTGTACTCTACCTTTTTCTTTTTTCAAAATCTTTCATTTTGTACCCACTGGGAAAGGTTGATAAATAATCAATTATTTTCTAAAAATATTTAGACTAAGGGGCTGTTTGTTTGCCTCTTAATGAAACCATTCAACGCTGAATGCTGAACTGTTCAGCATTCAGTGCGTTTGTTTCGCACCTCTGAATGATTCAGTGCTGACTAATTCAGCAAAACAGTACTGACTGATTCAGCAAAACAGTGCTGACTGATTCAGCAAAACAGTGCTGAATGATTCAGCACAGAAGTACATTCTGAATCATTCAGAGCCAGTTATCAAACAACATGTCACATTCAGAGCCAAACTATTCAGAGCCTCTGAATCATTCAGCATTTGAATCATTCTGAAGTAAACAAACAGCCCCTAAGTTGTTTGGTGACCAGTCTTGGAAACTAAGAACCTTAGTTGAGCAACACTTCTGTTAATCATTAATCTATCTGGACCTTGTAATAGGAAGATTAGGAAACATGGTGTGCCACTGTGGAATTAGTAAAATGGAGAGAGATGTTATAAAGCTTAGCTGTGGTCCACTGGAGGCAGAAGATAGACTTGTGGTTCTAGTGTGAAATCAGTGTTCAGTAAGGTCCATGCATTGGTGTGCATATATGTAAACTAGAAAATGATTAATGTGATTTATGTTAATGCATCTCTTATAACCTTTTTCTCCTTGTTTTTACTTTTCTTTCTTTTCTTTTCAAATTCATGGTACATATAAAGTTAATCTGTTGGTTGGTTAGAAAAGAGTTACCACGTCGATTGAAATTTCCAAGCGTGTTGGATTGTTCCTAATCATATGAATTTGAATAATAGGTGTTACATTTACTGATTGGCTCTACGAACACTGGTAAGAATTTGTGTTTTGCACTCCTTTGACCTTTTGGTCTTACGGTTGTAGCTTGATTTGGATCACATCTCTTATACAAACTGAATTGCCTGACTCTCATCTACCTGCAGGTTACTTTGTTTATTTTGTCTTGACTCTCATTGCTGCATGCAGAGAGTGGCTATGCTGGTCGTTCTCTTGTGGTTTTATAGCCATGGGTATGTTTAGATTCTCATTATAAAACTCATTTTATTTTGTCCCAGCGACAGATTTGTTTATGCATTAACTAGTGCAAATATGTGTGTTGCAGCGCTCCCCAGAATTTTATTCTTTTCAACATTTCTCTTACTTTTGTCATTCTGGTATGTTTTCTCTTTTAAGTAATTTATATTTTTATTCAGTGAATATGATTATGTAAACCATTCTTTAAAAAAAAATTCAAAGAATTGGAGATATTGCATGAATGAGATACACATTTTTCATTTTCATTTCATAGCAAGGAAATAGAAAAAAGCAAAGGGAGATCGGATTTAGTGCCTGACTCTAAATCGTCATTTCTTAATCAATTGTTACACGGGCCAGCTTTCTTTTTCTTCTTTTCCCAGTGCATCCAATCCAATGCAATGGTACTCAAGCTTGGTGTTCAATCGGGCTAAAAACCTTTAATAGTTTTAGTTCCCTCCAAGTTTTTATATTTTCTTTCGGAGTGAAAATTAGTGTTTCTTCATCAGCTATTCCCTTGTCTCTGTGGCTGATTTTTTTAGGGTCGACCTTTGCCACCAGACAGATGATGAAGAGGAAGAGGATGAACATGGTCTTGAAGAAGCGTTATTACAAAATTCTTTAAATAGACCAAGGTCATCAATCTTAGATAATCGCAGAATATGCTATCCTTTCCGTTTAATTCATGTTGGAAGTCATCAAAAAATAGTGATTCTGGTAAAGGGATATGATTTCTTCTTTTTGTTTTTTTATCATGGTTTTCATGCGTAATTGTTTCAAAGTTTTTATAGTACTTTGCTGTATGAACTCATTAATTCATTTTTTCTCTGACCAGGTTACTGTTGTTGTATTTCTTTTAATGATGACATTTTCTATGCTAATATGGATAGGAATGGAAGATAATCCTATTGATTCGTCAACAGTGGCTCAAGTATGAACATCCAAGTAGCTATTTTTTTAACTACTGTTCTTTTCCTAGACTACCATCTTTTAGTCTTTGACAGTCATAAAGAATGTTTTAGTGGAGATGGTGTTTACAATCCCCTCCCCCCTTTAATTTATTGGTTGGAAAATGAAAAAAAATTGACCGTGAAAATTTGTATTATTACGACTGAATTCATGAAGTAATGGCTGTCTATCTCATGCAGGTTTATATGGATCTTTCTGCTGCAGCACAACTATTGTTAGGTGGAGCTTTAGCATGCTATGGTGTGCAGCTATCATTTTATATGGACTTTTCCTTCTTCATGATTTCAGTTTTTCTTTTCACATTGTTTGAAATATTTGTTCCTTATTGTGATAACTTTCTGGTAGCAAACAAATGTCTAACATCAGGTTAACCAGACATACTCATTTCATTTCATTTATGAACTTAAAAGTCATATTTGTTAGACTTCCATCCCTAATATCCTACAGCATGCATGCGTAGATTACTTTAGATAAGTTCATTGCCACTTCCAGTTAAATGTGTGATATCATCAAGGCTGGCCTAAGTGGCTGACAAATTTTAGATTAGTCTTTGTGATTGATTGGCTAATTCATACTTTTAGGTGTCAGCGGAGTAGATGACTGTGTTGTTAATCTAAGAGAATAAATCAAGAAAGAAGGAAAGATAATGGAGTTAATGCAAGAAAAAAATCTGATTTCTAATGTAGGAAATTATGAGTAGCTGACTTCTAATAAGACTTTAAAGATTAACTTCTATATAGATTACAAAAACTCATAAGAGTTATCTTTCTTATCGTAAGACTCCTGAACAAATGAGACTACCACTGCCACCACTACACGGATGCTTCTGACAGACTCATTTATCTCACATATTCTGTTTTCTCTTAGGGATACTCATGTTTTTGTCTATTTCTTTCTCTCTCATTATCAGGACTCCTATTATGTTGGAAAATGAGGAATGTTAGATCTGAAAGAGCTTCATCTGAGATCTGGAAGGTATTGTCATATTATCCTTCATTCTTTTGTGTCATTGTCAATCGTCTTGTCATTTAGGTCTCAAGGTTGAAGATATACAGTCCTTTGCCCTTTATGTTCAGAGTTGATATTTGTTAAATTATGGTGGCTTTATAGTTATCGTACATCTGTACCTTATTTCATGATGTTATGTTGAGATATATGGTTTCTGTAGGTTGCAGGTTTGGCCATTGTATCTGTTCTATGCTTCACATCCAATGCTTTTGTGGCTCTTTTCACTGATATTCCGGTACACAGCTTTATAATGATTGTTCATTCTTTGTTTTATTTTCTAGCTTGATAAACTTAATTGTGTTTTCATGATTGCAGATGCTGTATCACTGGCATGGATTGCACATACATGGTGTTTATACTTCTACTTTACTGATTTTATATTATTTTATAGGTACTTGATTCAATTTCTCCCTTAAATTTCCAAAATTTGCTCCAAAGTAACGAAAGGTTTTTGATAGTTGGTTTATCGAAATCAGTTTTTTAGGGCATGAAACATATTGATCCATATTGGAGATTTATTCTCCATTAAAAATATTGTGTGTGAATACATCTTGATCTTTCTGAATATTCAACCTCGTGACCTCATCTAGCAATCCGCAATTATAGAGAACAAGTTTGTGGAGGATAAATTTGTTGACTGTAAGAACCTTCATCTGATCATAATCAGATAATAGGCGTTGTATGAGAAATCAGGATATGTCTGGGGAAAAGGAATCCTAAAACCAGGCAGATATGCGTGCCTAAACTTTATATATCAAAAGAATGACCTAGTTGATTAGGGCGGTTGGGCGGTTAAGAGTTTCCAATTGAGCTAGTTGCACCAGAGTACAAGACTCTGATATTAGATGTGTGTCTTAACGTTCTTCTGTCTGATTAGACAGGTATTCATGTGAAGATAGTCATTATCATTCTTGCATGCATATTATCATTCAAGTCTATTGATACCTGAATTTTATGGATGGAATGGTAAAATGGCGATTTCCATGGTTATGCCCTCTGGACAAAGTTGGCCAGTGTCAAAGCTTATGATGGTGTTCATTTTGCTTTTCTAGGTTCATCGGTGCCATCAGCTTTTGTGTTATGGGTCATGAGAGAATTACCCCCACTATCGAAAGCTAACATCAAAGAAGAACCGACAACAATAACTTTCATTACCGAAAGTTTAGCCGAAATTCGTCGTCAGCAGAGCTGGACTGCTGCAGCAAGCTCACAAATTCAGGTTCACATTGCTTTTCCGTCTTATTTCTGTATATGTTCGGTTTATATAAAATCTGCTTATTCATACATATTTCTGTTGATATTAGTTCATGGAACTGCTTCACCTTTCTTATTAGCCTTTGATCTGTGGTTTTGCTATATCTTCCTTTTAATGACTTGAGCTTTGATAGTGCAGGTATCAAGAGGTAGTCCTATATGATTGCTGGGTTTATACACGAATACATGCGCTTATATTCCTAACCAGGCAATGTGAACCGGAACTCGGAGCAGTCGGTTTGCGCAAACAACCCGCACAATCGTCGACTGTACAGCAGTACAGGGCGGCTGGAGCACAGCCGTAAGGTTGGCCTTGCCACGTTTGATATTTGGAGCATGTACATAGCAAATAAGTAGTGGATTTTATTATTGATGTGCCACTTGAGTTTGCACCACACTTGAATGGTTTCCTTAATAGATAGATTAAAGCCGTTGTCATTGATAAACACACTAAACAGGTCTTCAAAGCATCTAACCTCCCAAGAACTTAGGGCAAAGTAATAAACAAAATGAATAAAAATGTATGGAACAGATTGAGAAAAAAAAAATACAAGAACTTCAAACTTAGCACGAGGAAGCAACATTCTTCTCTAATATCAGTTTCAATTTCAAACAACATATTTGATAAAGTAGGATATATTCAAACTATTGAATTAGTTAACATTATTTTTAAAAAGTACGTAGGATATAGAACTATAATTTTTTTTTAAAATGATTTAAAATTTTATTAATCATTTTAAATGCGATGAACGGATGATACATTAAAAATATATATTTGAATAATATTTAAATTTTTAATATCATAATAAATAAAATATATCAATTCTAATAAAATGAGATTAATTTTTTTAATATTTTAAAAGTCACAAAATGGCTCTTTGACAATAGGAATTGCTTTGTTGAGTCCTTCGACTATTAAAAGTTACAAAATATCCACTCGATTATTCATTATATTTCAAACATCATTTTTCGTTAAAAAATTAATGATATATTGAGCTGGAAGTTAATCATTAACTGAGATATATGATAAAATATAATTTCTTAATCTGAATGACTATCATATTTCAGTTAACAGGTTAACGTATAACTTAGATTATCGTCAATTTTTTAACAAAAAGTATTATTTTAGACTTAGATTATTGTCAATATTTTAACAAAAAAGTATTGAGTTTAAAATATAATGAATAGTCGAGTGACAATTTTGTAACTTTTAATAGTCGATGGACTTAACAAAGCAACAACATATAGCCAAAAAGACTATTTTATATCTTTTAATAATTGATAGACCCAATATTGTTTTATCCTATAGTCGGAGACTACTTTTGTAATTTACCCAAAATATAATCCTAATTCTAAATACTTTTCAAATCTACACTTCTTTATTTTTTTTAAATTTTACATTGGAATTGAAAATACTTTTAAAACACACTAAAGGTATAAAAGTCGCGACGGTGAATTTAAAAGAACACAGTACATCCATGCTTTAAAACGTACTACCAAAAGCTTAGCACGAGCAACTACCCTTCTCGAACATAACATCTGGTTCAATTTCAGGCAACATACAACTTGACAAAGTTGGAACACCCACCAATCCAAGAGAAAGAGACATAACAAAATAATAAAGGTTAAGGTCAAAAATTGTTTCAAGTCATGCTTTGTGGACCTGAAGTCGAGCCCCTGATAAAGCTTATGTTACTAGTTGGATCGGGCGCGTCTCGATCTCATTCCTGTGTTTTTCATCGTTAGAGGGTGAAAACCCATCAAAAGTAGGGTATTTTTGGCATAATGTTGTTGTTTTTGTGTCACTCGCTGAATATAGCCAGCCTGTTTCCAAAAAAGTACTCACAGAGAGTCAACACTGGGCTACAAAATTTACAGCGAGGCGCCAGGTTATCAGCCAATCCCAAACTCTGACAAGAGGTGTGCAATGTTATGAGTACTAATTGCCTGTGGTTGGCCAACCATCGTCATCTTTCATGTTAACTTTGGATGTTAACTTTGGACAGTAATGCATTGCCCTATTGTTTATTTTATATCATACTTGAATTCGAGTCATAGATGAAAAAGATTTCCATAAACAAGACAGAGTAAACCGATTGAATCCTGAAAACACATAAGTAGGACGTGATGGTGAACAACATCCAACTTGACCCAAGTTGATAAAAAGAAGTGGGGACCAATAGGCACGAAACTTGGAAGGAGTTGGAAAACAGATGACAGGTCGAGCTGGTGCGCCACTAACAGCACTAGCAACTGGATCAGGAGCAGCAGGGATTGTGGGGGAAAGGTGCACAAGAAAGAGCACCATGCATGCATGACAATGAGCTCTCATGTCTCTAAATATCAGCACATAAAAGAGAGCATATTATGTATAAAGGAATCAAGACTGACATAGATCTATGCAACTCATGCTCGATTTCGAATACAGATAAACAAGACAAATAGAAACTGATTCCGGCACCGCATAAATGTATTGACAGGCAGACATGTCTCTGTACTGCCAACAAATTAATTATAATGTTACGCTGGGGTAAAAAACATGATGATATTAAAAAAATTAAGCAAAGAAAGGACACCAAAAAGGACAACTCTGAGCAAAGTGATGCTCATAAAGGTGATCAGTTGCCCATGAGGGAGTTAACAAGTACTTACAACATTTATGCAACGGCGAGGAATAAACAAAAAGCAAGTAGAATAAGAAATCAGTCAGAGGAGACACTAATAGTGAATATTTTAAAGTACGTCATTAACATTCAAAGCAGTTGTGCCATAAAGATGATGACAACTACTAACTTAGTGGCCATATTACATAGACAAATTGCACCCCAACTTTTCTCTCCTTCCAAGGGAACAATGTATGAGCTTCAGAAGTTTAAGCAGCAATTCGTGTCCTGGCACACCATTAAAACATGAATAACTGGAAAGTAAAACACAACATTAATCCTAAATACCTGTCTTATTTATCTCTGGACTGCAAACCATCAGAGACTTTGAAGGTAGGGTATGCAACACATGATAAACTTGCTTTTTAGAAGATGCGGAAACCATTACCACATTATGACTTTAATCCCCATTCATGAAATTCTCAACTCCAAGCTTCTGTGCTTCAACCTTGAGAGACTTGAGGTAACGAACTGCTTCATCAAGAACTGCTACAGTACCCATATCATCAGCACCTGGAACAATTCCCCTCAACACCTTAACCATTTTCTTCATTTTCAGCTGTTTTTCAGGATCACAAAAGCCACCACCACCAGAGGATTTCAGGGTAGAAGAGCATGAGTTGTCCTTTCTTGGTTTTGAACCATAGGCAGAACGAGAATCAGCGTCACTTTCATAATTACCATAAGTCCGTGCAGTGCTAATTTCTTCTTCATCATAATCTTCTTGTTGATCCTCTTCTGAGCTGAGAAGTGCATCAATGTCATCTGAATCCTCTTTCAAAGAGGATGAGGTTTCTTTTTCCGCATCATTAACATCTTTTATGACGTGTCTTCCATCTATGTAATTTGCTAAGCCATTTAATCCAGGACTATTTAAATTGTTTGCAACAGCAGGATTGAACATGATCTGGTTTCTGTGCTCAGTCTGGTTGAAGATAATGAAATTCTTGGGACAAACCTCTGAGGGTTGGAACTCAATGCCATGGATGGGTGGAAATGGCTTAGCACATGGAGGAAAAACAGTACCAAAAGCAGATGCGACTGGGATATGCATGTAATTATCGCCAACTTGATCTGCAAATGTGGGCACTGCTTTTGGAGGGTAACACCGTTGATGATTCTGCATCTAAATTTCTACTTAAGAGGTTCACAACAAAGATGCTTCTTGGCTTTGAAAGTGCAATTATCCAACTTTTCAGTCGGAAGAAAGTTTTAACTATAATTTTGGAGAGACAAAAGCTAAACTACTGAATCGCCATTACAACATGACCGAGCTACCTATCCCAAATTGCCATGAACACAATCAGATCTTTCAGCCTTACACATAACACAACCAAACAACACTCACCCAGATCCCAATTTCCAAGAGTTCTGTAATACCAGACTACGTAACAGGTTTCAGCAACTGACGGAAATACTCGGCCTGCAATAGCACATGGGAAGTCAATAAAACCACAAGGATTGCACAGGTAACATGTGCAGCCTAAAACATTAAATTACTTTGTCAATTATAAGATCCAAAACTTCAGTCCTGCTTGGCTTTTGGAGTCACTCTAAAATTTCTAGTTCGTATGGAAGCACATTAAACTGGTCAATAGTTTACAGGTTTGGTACTTTAGTTTATGTCCAGATTCATTGTGTTCGAAAGCGGAAATCCACAACAACAAAGAGATACGAATGACAAACATCTAGAATGGCTCAAATTTGAAAACAATTTCTTTCTCTTCAACTGTAACAATTGAAAAAAATATATAGCTGGTGTTTGTGCAATTTATTTGCTTGTGGGAATTAACAAGACAGATTTTTCCAATCAGCTAATTGTCAAACTACAGAACAAGAGGCCCATTCAACCTAATCCAGGCATACTAGGGCAGCATTAGTAATGGGACCATGTCTGTTATGGCACATAGATTTACCTAGGACTTTCGTACACTTCCAAATTCCAAGGACACAAACATATAGAACAGATGAAACCGCGACATGGAATCTGAAACAATATAACATACCTGACAAACTTGAACTAGCTTACAGTATGCCACAACACCAACGCTCATTTTAATCTTCCCAGCTTCCTTAATTGCTCGATATCTCTTTATGGTTACCGCAATGTACATTCTCACACCTTCAACCCAAAATTTTCAACGGCACCGAGTTGAATGAATTGAATTCCCTTTAAATTCAATTGAAATTAACCTACAGCAGTAGAATAATTCCCTTTAATAAAACAACCGATAGATATGTGATGCACATAAAAATATAAACTTCCATTTCGTTCTGAAATTATAAGGCAAATAACTAATCATCGGCAGAATTTTTCAGATGTAGAAAACTTACCAAAAAACCAAATAAAAATTACAGTATAACGAGAAAGAAAACCACTAAGCGCACACAATTGACGAAAGACCACGGCATATTGTTGATCTTTGGTTCAATCCCGGAGTGATTATTGAAAAATAAATCCAAGCTTTTAACCTGCCAAAAAGAATGAAGAAATAGCAATTAAAATCAAACACAAATAGTAGTATTAAGATACCAAGAGATCTGCAACAAAAGATCAATTAAATAAAGAAAAGGATCAATAATAATTCAAGCTCAGTGGAAGTTTTATTTTGTAACAGATATAGATCTTAGAGAAATTCAAAGAAAAAAGAGAGAAATAAAATAGCTATAAT